AGGCAATATTGATTTAGATTTTACAGCCCCATCTGAGCTATGAGTCAGTGTTGACCACCTCTTAAGTTAGGAAAAGCATAACTTTCTGAAACAAACAGCAATAAAGTAGGTAAATTTCTATCCCTTTTAGCTATACAGAAAAATTTTAAAAAGAATTCTTAAAAAGCTCAAAGTCCTGAAGGACATAGAGAGTACTAAAATCCTGTCCTAAGGACAGAGAAAAAAAAGCTTCAAAGTCAAAGCCTGCAGGGAGGATGCATTTCCCACCTGAGATTTCTGACATGGCGCATTTTCCACATAGTAACATAGATTTTAACCCCTCCACTCCCTGTGGATGAGAGGCGACACAGTAACTTGCCACCTTGCCCTGATATAGGAGACTCCTACCTTGAATCCTGCTTTGACAGACCACCCTGACCACCCCAAAAAAAGAATGGGAGAATGTGCTGGTTTTCACTGGGATAAAGTTAATTTTCTTCACAGTAGCTAGGATAGGGCTGTGGTTTGGATTAGTGCTGAAAACAGTGTTGATAGTACAGAGGTGTTTTTGTTACTGCTGAGCAGTGCTTACACAGTCAAGACCCTTTCTCCTTCTCACCCCAGCCCACCAGCAAGCAGACTGGGAGGACACAAGAAGTTGGGAGGGGACACAGCTGGGACAGCTGACCCCAACTGACCACAGGGATATCCCACACCATAGGACGTCATGCTCAGCAATAATAAACTAGAGGAAGGCTGGCCAGGGGAGCCGTTGCTCAGGGACTGGCTGGGCACCAGTCAGTTGGTAATGAGCAATTGTTTTCATTTGCATCACTTGCCTTTCTTGATTTTTATTTCTCTCTGTTATTTTCCTTTTAATCATGATTTAGTATTATTATTATTGTTGTTGTTGTTATTATTATTCTTTCAATTGTTAAACTGTTCTTATCTCAACCCACTAGTTTTCTCACTTTTACCCTTCCAATCCTCTTCACCCCCCATCCTGCTGGGGGGGAGCGAGCTGTATGGTGCTTAGATGCCAGCTGGGGTTCAAACCACAACAGTCCTTTTTTGCACCCAACGTGGGGCTCAAAGGGTTCAAGAAAATGACAGACTGACCAGAGCATATTAGAAGGTATTTACATCTGTTAGCAATTGTGGGTCACGATATTGGTTCACGTGTTCTCAATATTAGTTTATCTGATCTGTGCCATGCTCTTTGTTTTGCTGTACACGTTAAAGATGGTTGTTGGCTTTTGCAGTTTTCTGTGCTCTGTAGTGATTAGTGATGTTTTGCCTGGGAGATTTGTTACAAATACACTGACCTTGAGCTTAAGCTGGTATTTGGGCTCTGTACTGAAGCCACTACTGTACTTCAGGTACCATCTCATGGAGAGAGTTAACAATTAATACTTCTTCCTCTGAGGGTTTTTTGTGTAGGAAATACAGAATGGCACCTTTGCTACATTGTTCTCTGATGTTTTCTCCCTTGTTACAATAACTTCTCAGTATCTTGAACATCCTTGGGTAGTTAAAATACTTCTATCAGTGTTTCTTAGGAATATTGGTTCAGTTTTTTCTAAGGTTAACAAGTAATTTAGGAGTATGACCCAGGCTCCACGAAAGTATGGTCATGGGTAGCATGGCATGTGGGAGAACATGGGCAGGTATCTAGAGAGCTTCTCACTTCCAATGGCCTGGAACTTCACTCCCAAACAACTACAGGACCCTGATGAAGCGATAGAATGTTTGGGGGGCGGGGGGGGGATAAAAAAAGAAATGCCGTGGCTATTCCAGAGACGCACAACTTGCTGCACTGTGCCGGGCCCTGGCCAGCATCTGCCAAACACTACTCGATACTATGCAGCACCCGCAGGGAGAAGAGAGGGAACAACATACCAACAGACACTATGGCTAACGCAGGCTCTAAATCAGTCACCCCTAAAACTAAAAAGAAACAATGGAAGCAGAAATCAGCTCATTTAGTAAGGGATGAAGAAGCTTCTAAGAGGGAGCAGGAGAAAGAATCAGAAGAGGCAGCCTATTCTGCAGCAGAGCCATCACATGAACAGGAGGAGGAAGAGACAAATCATGAATGAGACAGAAACCATCCAATCCCCATCCCTAAGTGAGTTGTGAGATATGCACAAAGATTTTAGCTGTCAATCAGGTGAGCTAATTCTCAAGTGGTTACTCCGATGCTGGGATATTGGTGCCAGGAGTCAGGAATTAGAGGGTAAGGAAAGCTGGCAGCTCGGAACCCTTGCTAAGGATAAGGCCATTGACAAAGGGATTGGAAAAAAGGCAGGAGTCCTCAGTCTTTGGCAGCGACTCCTTTCAAGTGTGAAGGATGGGTATCCCTTTGAGGAAGAACTTGCAAATTTCTAAAATGAATGGACCAATATTGAGGGAGGTATCCGGTATCTGAGGGAATTAGCCATGTTGGAGGTGATCCATAACAACCTGGATAACAACCAGGCATCCAAAGACCTGGATGAAATCCGGTGCATGCAGTCCACGTGGAGGAAGTTTGTACAAAATGCACCAACAAAAAGCACCATGTTGTGCTTGTCTTCATTTCATCCACGGGCTTTTATAGAAAAGCCTTCAACATACACCTGGACAGCACACTTCTATTTTTCTTCTTAGTTAGAAAAAGCTTAAGGAAAGGATTACTGCCAATAAAACAGAAACACTACAAAATTTGAAATTATAATTCTATACACGCTTCTGAAAACCTCTTTGGCTTTTGTCTTTGTGCTCTGAATGGCTCCCAAGATCTAATTTATTTCACTGAAACAAATCCAAAAGTGCCAGCAAAAAAGAATCAACTTTCTCTTTAGTTAGAATAAAAATTGTGCAGAAGGAATTCTTGACCTTCATTAATTCCATGGGCAGGTGTATAAGCTCCTAGGTGTTAATGAGACTTGCCAGTTTAGGCAGACTGTGGAGTCTAATGAAGCATCAAATGAGCCCACTTTGGAATTTCACTATCAGATACTTCCAACAGCAAAGTTTGATGACACATCCTAACAATCCCTTCAAGCCCTCTGCACGGGGATGTGAAGCAAATCGTTCTTCTGAACTGGAATTATGTTACTGGCTTGCATGGTCAGTGTGACTTGTAGAAATTAATGTGGGGGAAAAAATATCCAAATCTTTCCCCAGCGTTACTTTTTCCACATCCAAATTATATTTAATCTTTCCTCAATTATATACAAAACTACCCTCTGTAGCCTACGGCAGTTTCCATTAGAGAAGCATACAAAAATTACCCCTCCAGAAAGCAAGCTTCCAGATCTACTGAAGCTTTAGGACTTGCGTCAGGATCTGCTCTGAATCAACTTCATGCCTGATCACTTAGTAAAACAAGAGAGTTCAGGTTCTTCATAAATCCTAATTCACTGTTAAAAGCCTGCAAGGCTTGTTCTTATTCTTGTGCGCAATATTAGGTGCCAGATCAGAAACTCACAAAATGGGATCCTTAGGGCATAAAGATTTGCTATGGTAAATCCTACGTGTTGTCTTTCCAAGTTCCTCTTTAATAAGAAAAATTTACAAAAAGAAAATAAAATGTCAAGGGTTTCCAGAAAGGAAAAGACTGAAAAGTTAGACATGTAATAAAAAATTAATTAGTCTTAATATAAAATTTTAACAAGGCACCTAATATTTTCAGGGAGGGAAGCTTAATGACACCAAGTCTCTAAAAATATCTCAGTTCTGGATTTCTGAGTCCCAAGGGTGGAAGTTGAGAGCCAGATTAAATGCTCACTATATTCAGTCGAAAATAAAATTCCACTGTTTTTAAACATAAAAAGAAGAGAAAAAAAATCGTGTAAGTATCTGGAACAAAGACACCTAATATAATTTTGTAAGAGACAGGTGAAGCAGAGCCACACTTGACAACTTTATGACCATCTTCGGACCAAAGTTGCCTTTTTAAAGGAAGAAGGATTTCATTAGCTTTCCCTAAATCAAACCATGATAAAACAAAGACAGTGGCAATGCAATGGATTTTAAAACTGTAGAAGTTAACCTCCCTGTACATGCATCGCTACTGCCTGCAACATGCTCAGGAAAAAAACTAAGCAGCCCTTCTCCCCTCTTCCTGCTGCACCACAACTCTCCTCATTCACAGTCATTATGTTCAGGAAGCAAAATCTGCTTTTGCGACACAGCATTTAACCAAGGTGTTAACCAAAGAAAAATTTAAGACAAAACCAGAAGTCTACTTGGTCACCCTTAAACTGTTCCCTTTTATTTTCACGAAGAATATATTTCATTTACCACCACGCACTGTTGTGCTACCAGAGCTATGGATCCTCAGAACTACAGAATATAGCACAGAGAGAATGCTACCATTTATCAACAATTCACATTTTCCATACGAAAGGAATACTTCTAAACTTCACCATCCACACCTGAGATGGCACTGCTATCACGGGCAGTCCTACTGACAGCACCTGGCATGGCCACACATTGAACTTGCAACACAGCAAGTGTCAAGTCTGCATTAAAATTTTAGGAAGAGCCTTGAGCACTTTTATTGTATCTGCTAAATCATCCCATAACTCATGCTGCAGCTCCAGCCTTCTCCAGCCGAGGAGCAATTTACCACCCACCTCCCCCAGCATGAGCCCTGTTGTTCTGGCCAGCAAGCATGCAGAAGACACACAGTTATTTCCATATTTCCTGGAGAAAGTATGTAGGTGATTAGCCCCCTTTACCCTGGTGTGCCTGAATCAAAGCCAACCAGGCACAGAAGCATGCAGGTCATTTTGAGTGCCCTGAGCATCTTCATAGATTGAAAAACAATGTAGTCCTGAGGGTCTAAACTTGTATTACACAGACAGTCGGTGACATAACCCATTTAGATCAAAACACCCTGTAGAGTCACTCAGGTCTGCTCTCTCACCACTACAGCAGTGCTCTGATCTGAAACTGAAGCCGTTTCTCCGAATGCCAAAACGAGCCCAAACCAGAAAGAACAGGGGCCAAAGGCGTCCGCAATTCAGACCTACCCAGATGGTGTCGTCTTGTCTGTACTGTTTCCAGTTGCGGCCAGTGTCGCTGAACATCAGCGTATAGCTGGTTACCCAGTCTGAGCTCCCGTACCTGCCCTGGGTAGCGACTGCGACAATCTCCACTCTGTCTCCCAGATCAACCTGGAGCCACTGCTGCTCGTTTGAGTCCAACGGGGACCAGCCACCAGCTCCTGAAAGAGATTGTATAAAGATAAATTAGGTGACAACGACAGCACAAGAAATTACACTTGAGAAAGACCGTGTTACTACTTCAGGTCATCACACAGGAGCCTACTTCCTGAACATACAGCTGTTTGTTCATATTTTTGTATTAGGAAATATGCTACATGAGGTGTGCTTCCTTAAGGTTTTCTTAATTAACCTAAAGTTTATAAGGAATTCTGAATTTCTAAAAAATTTTAAGGAAATTTATTCTTTGTCAGCTGGACAAATGTTGGTGAGGTTGGCACATCCTCAGTCACAAAAAAATACCATATCTACCCCCTCTTCGCATGCTTGTGCAAATCTGGGAATGCTGATTTCTAACTTCTAATTTGCTTTGACATTTTCTTTTTTGCTATGTTTTGAAAGACATGCAAAAATGTTAGTTATCTTGATTTGAGGCCTATTAAGTATTTGAAAGAACGGTTTAATTACAGGTTGTAAATGCAATTCAGATAATAAGATGTAAAGCTAGAGACGAGTTGCAAATTATCCACTTCCATGATGCACTTCTCCATTCAGGAATGAAGATTTCCGAAGTCACAGTCACATGGAAGCTGATAGCTTGTAGCTCGTGTTTGTTCTTTAAAAGTAAAGATACGTACTATCTCTTGAATTTTTTTAGAGGTTGAACAGGCCCGTGGTAACGCCAAGCCAATGAAACATGGAACTGCAACCCCTGTTTGAATTTCACCACTTCACTCACTACAATAAATGTGAGCTTACGGTTAAAAGGCAAATCCTTCCAGACTGGAATATATTATTTTACATTCTCTTCCTTTCTTTTTCACCCTTAAATTATAGGCTATGTTTATTTTCTTTTAACTTGTTTCTACTTGCACACATTTATTCTCCGAATACACTTAGCATTCATTTCAGCCTTACAAATAAGTGAACAACGAAGCTACGAAGAACGCAGAAGCCATTAACAAAGTATCCAAAGCAGCAAATTTTCAGGCTGTCACTGCTTCTGCAACCCACCATCTTCTTTGTTTTGCCATTATTAATGAAGTTTACAAAAGCACTTCTGTATGATTACAGTGAACACAGTCACATTGGGAAGGAAAGGGGGAAATACACAGAGTAAAACATTAACAATTCCTCATGTAAACTACAAGAATGATTCCGAACATGCGTTTCCAAATAAAAAGCATCACTAAACTTTGGTTATAAATAGCTGGATTTACCTTAATATTTTGATCTTATTAACTGATCTGTCTCAAAGCTGCTCCATGAAGAGTTTATTGAAGTGAACTGAGTTGAAAGATCAATAAATGTGGTTTGTATCAAAGAACTCAATTTCAATAACTTTGCCCTTTAAAAAAATTTCTTGATTTTCCTAGACTGCATTGTATTTTCCAGCTCACAACTGGAATTCTTTTGTCTAAGGATAGGTGTTAGAATTTTCATTATTTACAGTTCACTAAGATAGGAATTAGTCCTAATTCCTGAAACAGAAGCATATTTATTCCATAGCTAGAATTGAATATCGGCACCGCTCCCCTGGATGACTCAGTTCCTTCCTCTACGAGAGCTCTCCAGGGAAAATAGTTTGTAACCAAACCAATGCATACTGCTTGCTAGTTCCATGCTTTATTTTACCTTTTTCATTCACAATACAAGTCTTCATCATCACTGTGATTATTTTACCTGCCTTAAATAGAATACTCTCTCCTATAAGCATGTCATGAAAGACCCAATGAGAATATTAGGAATTTCATTATTCAATTCTTCTCTGACTACTTCATAGCTCTCTTTTAACTCCATATCTATATATAGCTTTTATAAAACTATAGTACTTCCCGTTAAAAATCGTAACAACGTTTCTTCTTCCCCCCCCCCCCCCCCTTTTTTTTTTTTTTTTTTAATTTTAAATGCCATATAAAGAATATATCTGTCTGGCTTTTAAGATACAAACTATATAACTGTGTTCAAAGACAAGCTGCATATTTCTCCTACATGGAATTGTGACAAATGTACATGAGAGCCAAAGGAAAACTTCCTTTGGACTGTAATATCCAATATCTGAAATAGACCCTGAACACAATAGTTGCTGCTTTCTTTACAGTTTTATTCCAGGAACTGGCAGGACATAGAAATTCAGTTCAGAAGCTCTGGCAGGTCTGTGGCACAAAGTTGTTCCCTTCAACACTGCAAAGAATTTATTACAGAAGTTTTCTGTAAATATTAAAAGTGGGCATTTTCATCTTTGCTTTATTGTCTTTCTATAACATTAACAGCAGCAACTAGATGGAGGAAAATAACTTATAACAAGTAATTTGTTTGAGGAGTTTCCCATTTAAAAAAAAGAAAAGGAAAAAAATCTTTGCTTTTCTGTTCTAGTTTATGCATAAGTTCTTAAGCCAAGCTTATTACCACAGGTGCTTTCCAGTAGTTTGTTAAACATCATAACTAGCATCTACCCTGTGTAGTTTATGCTCTCTCCTGTCTGCTGCTAAAAGTGGCAGAAAGGTGATATGCTTTCCACAAAAGTATTTGGCTTTACTATGCACTGATATTTTCCAGTTTGAGCATGGCACAACAGGCTTATATTTTCAAAGTCAGTCAAACAAACAATACACACTGAATGGAAATTTGGGAGATCTGTGATGAGCTTGACCTCTCAAATCACAGATTACACAGCATCTCCAAACTGCGTATCTCTTCACACGAGCACATTTGTCTGTTGGGAATGTCACTCTTTAGATGTAAGCACTCCATGACACAGCAGTGACACCTGCTCGTAGCATCACCTCTCCAGAAGCTGGTCTTGCAAGAGAGATGTTATCATCCTTGCCAGACCATGCCTTTACAGAAGAGCAGCTGCTTCATACACCTTTTCCTGTGGGGAAAAAACCCACTGTATTTCCCTCTCCCAAACCTTCCATCATTACCATTTCCACAGATGAACAGTAATTCTACTGACTTATAAGAATGGCAGTTAAAATCCCTGCAACAGCAACGCTGCATTGGCTGTGTGACTGAGGGCAGAACTAAAGCTTTTCCCATTGGGCCTCTCTCACTTCTGCTAGTAAAGCAAACACATAACTTCTGCTCACTTTTGTGGGTATCCCAAATCCTCACCAAATACTGCTGCAAGTGCCAAAAATCACTAAAATGTTCTTTTTCCTCCATATTTGCTCTGTTATACAGAGCAGGTGGCACAAGGGATACTGGCATCTTTTTCCAGCACAATCTGTGCACATTTCTTTTATGCACGTCACTCCTTATAGAGTGTCAACACCCCACCCTGTACTTTTTTTAGTAAGTAGCAAAAAAGCATGCCCAAAGTATAGCAACTCTTTTACCGCCATTTGCTCCTCTACCCACCAGTGATGCTCACCCTGGGGAACATTTGTCAGGGCAGGCCCAAGACAAGAGACAAGAACGTAGGATGTGAAGGCTCTAATAGGCAACAACAGGGGCTACTAAAGACACAACTTTTACAGGACATCAACTCCTTTGAACAGATATAAGCATAACCCTGACACCATTTTCCTGCAGTTGCGCACAAGGAAGTTGAAGAGGATGATACACCTTTTATTAATAGTGTGGCATAAATAAAACAGGCAAGTGTGGCTCTGATTACACCCACCAGATCGGTACATTTGGTTTTAGGTAATCTGGAAAGTACTGACATATGAAGATACCACATTGCCTCTCTCACAAGAAAACAAGAGAGAGAAGATGCTCAATAAAGTCAACACGTTTAGTACTTTACAACGTCATGTCTGACGGACATACAATTTCCCCATTCTGCCCACCAGATTCCCACTGGCATTGATAGGATTCTGCGCATTGCACTACACTGTCATTCCTCAGAGTTCACGCATTTCACATTTTCTGTGGATCATTTCAAGGGAGAGGTTCAACACGGTATGGCGAAAACGCCCTAGTGGAGAAACAGTACCACAGGAATCTGATATATTGCTCATATTCTCCATGGCAACAAATCATAATGCTAGAAATATAAGGAGAACAATAATCAGATGTTTTCTCAGCTGGACACCCATATGACTCGAAGAAATTTGATCAAATACTTTTTTTCTTTTTTAGACCATTTGTAAATTTTGCTGTAATTGTTCCAAAAATTACATTTAATCCCAGTGTTATGCAGTCAATGCTCCTTGACGTTCCACAGGGCTGCTCAGGATGCCCATACTTATTTGTAGTTTATTAATGCAAAGAAAAGGGAATGCTTATTTCCACCCTACAGTGCCTTACTAACAGCTCAACTGGCTTTATAATGTGCTACAAACTCTTGGACTTCCTGCTGCAACTAAGTGCTTCCCTGCTGCAGAATATTACTTTAATGCCCAGATCAAACACTTCCTGGCCATAAAACAAATTCTTTTTGACATTATATATGTTTTATATTCCCATACATAATTGCCTATACTGACTACTCAGGCTGAGAACTAATAGAGAACTAAAAAAGCTTAGTTGATACAGTCATATTGTAGCAATTTTCTTAGTCTTTTTCATCATTTATTTACTGTAAACAAAAAAGCCGATTAATCCCTCTCATGGCTAAGTAATATATTTCATACCTCAGAATCATATTTATCAGAATTATACTAACTGCTTTACTACTACCAGTACAGATTTATCAGCATTTAATTGAGCACTTTCAGCAGTTCACACAAAGCTTTACTCATGGGTACTTTGTGTGGGGTTTTTTTTAATGGCACATTTCACTGCTGCACGCCTTTTTTTAAACAACAGCCTTTTAGTTATTGTTATCTATTACTGAATCAACTTGATGAATTAGAACTTTCTCTTGATGTAGATCTAGATTGTATTCTATAAATTCATCTTCACCTGTTGCATTCATATTTACATTAACAAATATATTTATCTGGCTTTCTACATGGAGGTACTGTTGCTTGCAGCACTGTCTTATCAATTACAAACAAAGCTAAGCCAGCTCATCAAAACACACCAACATTATTAGAAAGCCATGGCATAGTCCTTGTTAGTGAATATTATTTCTTGTAAAGATATCTACTCTTTGCATTCAAGTGCCAGACAAAAAGTTCCTTCAGCCACCACCTACCACTGCTTGCTTCTCCAACCCAAGATGAAGTACCCATACGAATTCTGCTGGCACTACATCTGCGCATTTCTACAAAAGTCTGCACAACAACAGAATTAAGCAAGGTAGAATTTAACTTCTAGGTCCCTGTGTTGGGCTTAGCTCATCAGTTATCACATAAGCCTTCAAAACCTGAAATAAAAGTTGCTCAACCAACTTCCTTGCTTAGGGCTCAGTTTCAATACTCTGCCTTCCTGTTCCCATGATTTGTGCCAAAGGACAGTGTGGACCTTACCGATCTGATACTGTATGTCTAAAAAACTACAACACTTTACCCCCCACTACATGGCAAAACTACTCTAACACAGCTAAATATGACCTAGTTCATTTTCTGCCCTTGAATTGCAATCATTGTCAATTTATTTTAGAAGTTGTTAACATCACTTTAAAATACAGTACAGTCAGAGCTTGACTTGCAATAATATTGACTTTGAATCTCTTCCTCTTTTCTGCAGACAAAATTAGTCATTAGAGCCATTTGCAAAATCACATAAGCACATCTATTCACCATCCCAGCTAGCAGTTGGAAACAAAGGCAGGGCAAACTCAAATATCATGCTCAATGTTTAGAACTTTCTTTATGTTGAGCAACTACCATATGACCTTTTACTTGCTGAGGAACTCTGGTTCAGGAGTTTAAATATGATATAGTAACTCCCATCTAACACTTCTCTAAGGACCTAGCAACTGCTTATCATTAGTGCAAACCATCTAAGGAAGCGCCCTTTACTGTCTTTCTATAGATTTATCAAATGGCATTTGATTAAAACAGACATTTCAGAGATTGTTTAAGTAGGAAAATTCTCATTTATTTTCAATTAAAACCTCTTTTGTAGTAGTATACTTTCTAGTGTTTCTTATAATGAAAATCATATGTAATGTAATAATGCAGGGCTTTCCTCTCTTAGAGGCTATAACTTGGGAATAAGGCAGAAGCCAACAACCCAAATTTGCAGCGTGGTGTCAAATGATGTCCTAGATACTGTCAACTTCTCTTTTCTGGTAACAAGTTTGATTCTAATAATTTCACCTTGTGTGTGAACTCATTATCTGGGCCTCAAACATTCTTCATGGCAAATGTCTGCCAAGTTTTTTTATTCATTTTCACTGTTTCTGCAGAGTTGTGTAATCACTGAATTCTACTGGAATTTTAATATCTAGTTGCTACTAGCTTTAACGCCTACACTTTAGGATAGAGCCTCAAGCCTAATGACCTCCAATGACCTGGAAAGATTATGGCAACTCTTCAAAAGCAAAAAGACTATCTAAACTTCCTTCAGGATGTTTCTACAAAAGAAATGGAGAGCTTCAAATTTAATAGAAGTTTTCTACAATAAAGGAAGGAATTGCTCCTAAATAGAGCTCTCACAAAAGCATAAATTAACAGTTCTATTCAACTTGGCTCTGAATGCATTGCATACAAACAGCATAAAGAGTTATTCTTTGTCAATGTGATTAAAAAGAATATTTTAGGCATTTCATACTGCAACCTTACCATCTCGCCTGTTGAGCTTTGCAAAGCTGGGACTGTGAGTACTGAAGAGCTCAGAGGAACTGGTAAGGGCTGTTGAAGGTAAGGGAGATACCAATGCATCGTCACAATTATCTAAAAAAAAAAAAGCAAAAAAACAAAACATACAGAGGTCATCACATGAGCAACAAATATGCCAGCTTGTGCTATCTCGACATGGTGTTTGTTTCTACTTAGTACACAGACACTGGAGAAAGAGCACACTTCTGCTTGAATTCACATGCAAGACTGAAATTAATCCTCCAGAATGACAGTCTGGTGGGATGGCAACTGGATGGGAGCTGTTTTTAAAGACATCAAATACTTGAGAAGCTGGAAAATGTTTTCCTTTCAGTGAATGAAATTTGATGATCTACCCTCCAGTAAAAGAGAGTAATAACTCTTCTTACAAAAGCCACTGGAAGAACATAGTAACGCCCTGACAGAGTTAGAGAACACCCCAACTGTTGTGTTCAGTAGTCTCGCCACAGAGCAGATACATAATGTAGGAGTTACAACTTCATATTTCTGTACAGTAGTGACACACAGGCATATGCCACCTGGCCTTCTGCAACATATAAAAGCAAGTCCTGTGCTTCACAAGAGTCCTGTGCTGCATTGTGATTACAAAACCTGAACACTTCCTTCATTTCTTCCACAAGCTCATACACATACACATGGCCAGATTAGTTTTGTTTGCTCAGATGAGTAGTCTGCTATGTCTTTCCCCTCTTACTTTCACATCCTCATATAGGCTAACACTCAAGTTGAATTTTTGAGCCCATAATGTTTGAATAAGGATGGAATTAGGTAAAGTAAGTTCACTCATTACAATGCTGTCACATACACACTCAAGAACATAGTGCGGGGTTTCAGTAGGCAATAATAATAATAAACCCCTCTCATTTTTAATTGAATCTCCCATGGAGCAAACATGGATCTAATTACTGGAAAAGTCCTGCAGGTTAGCAGAATCTCAGGCACCACAGTGTTCTCGCACTCACAGAGTAAATACACGATTTGCAAGGATGGTGGTTGGGGAGGAAGTAATGCATTAATGATATTTCAGGCTACAAAAGACAAGCAATAAAAGCAAAAATTGCTTTATAGTTATGACAGCAAATTTAGACTGTTCCAAATCTGGGTGATACCTTCCACATTATGAGCCAGATTACATTAAAATACTTCTCATCTCTTTCTACAGTGACTCTCTAAGAACAGCCCAGATACTTTTGTAATCAAAATCCATCTCTATACAAAAAAATCAGTGTAATCGATATAATTCATATCAGTGCATTGACCGATGGACCTCAAAAAGCAAACTTAAGTGCAAAATCCTTTCTGTCTCTTTGGTTACCATCAGCAAAAAGACCTAACAAAATCTGCAAGTTAGACAAATTAAGGACAAGTATTCCACTGATGTTTTGAACATGAGGATAATTAGCTAACAAAACAAGTTACCAAGGTCCTGAGCAGATTCCTCATCACTTACAGGCTTTGAGTCTCAAAGAGAACTTCTGACTGCAATGCAGAAAGGTCTGTGGAGTGCCATGCTCCCTGGTACGGCATGAGGTCAGGCCTAAATTGTTCTGTCTGGACTTAAAAAAACCCACACCTGTAAATTAAAATGAGGCTTTTAAATTCACTGTAAGTTGTGACCTGAACAGTGATTTAAACAAAGATCTCAAATGGCAAGTACACCGGGGCACCAAACTCACCCAAACTTTTGCATTCTATAAAACCCAATGGAAGGATTGGGAACCTCTCAAAAGGACGTTCAAGGTCTTAGCAACAGATCTACAGGACTATTCAGCAACACTTAAAACCAGAAGCTGAAAATAACTGAATGCAGAGATTTCAATTTAAATAGCGTCTAGACTGCTGGCTCTCTTCAGTTCCCTGCGGTTGCTCCTGGACCACGAGAGAACTCCACACATCAGCCTGTGACCCACAAGCTGTCCGTGACAAGAGTCACAGTGACAACCTCTGGGTTCTCACTGTTCCCCGAGGGTATGATCGGATACCTACAGGACACCAAGTGTCTCAGCACAGCAGCAAGTGTAAACCATTTCAGAACAATGCATTTAAGGTTTTGCCTGGGACCTCTGGAGGCTCCAGCCTGGGAAGCGACAATTAGCTCTTCTAACTACCAGGTGCTTTGCCTACATTTCCACATCCTTTGCTTCTGTCCCCAGACACACTCACCTGGATCTCTGCTGCTACAGCATTACAACATCATTTTCACACCAAATTCTAGGATCCTTATTTAGTTTTTCTCTGGGAAAAAAAAAAAACAAAAACCAACAAAAAAAACCACTACTGCCAGGAATCCTTCCCTGAATTCATATCCAACTATAAAAACACGTAATTATAAGGCTTCAGGATTTAGGACAGTATTAACAATTTGAAGATAGTTCTGAGAACACCAGGACCAGTACAGTCCAACTTCCAATAGATCAGTGAGTAACTATTCATTTAGAATGCAAGCAGGAATTTCCTCCAAGTTTAGTTTTGAATGGATACCCTAACAAGATGCAAGGTCACTCTTCTGCTCTTCCCTCAGTCAAAACTAGCCTTGCAACATCGGAGGTTGCACCGGACAGCTCTACGTGCACAGACCAACAATGCAGGACATAGCACAGCTTTTACATGCCAAATGAAATTTCAAAGTACAGTATAGTAAAGTGCTTGGGATGCATCAGTCAATTTGTACATGCACAACAATCCAGATCATATACAAAATAGCTCTGATGCATCCCTTGTCAGTGACACTACACATACGAACTCTCCAGATTTGAGATTGATATCTCTTTGTAAATCTTAGGTGAAATTGGCCACAGGGTTCAAAAAGGCACAATGTGCACATGCAGTGAGGATCATCCCATAGGCCCTGCTTCCATGAGAAGGCAGAATTGAAAAACAAACCAACCAACCACCCAACACACTCCTCTCAATATTCCCAAACTCTCTAAGAAAGTATGTTAATATCATGTTTCCTTTTGTGATGGGTGCAGACAAGAAAGAGATTAAAAGTTTTGTGCTTATGCAAGGTCAGAGAAGACCCATGGTAAAACCAGAAGCAAAGCCAATGTATCCTGATTCCCGTCATATAATCCCAGTGCACACATTTCAAGAGACTTCATCTCCCTCACATGGTGTGACAGAAATAGACCTTTATTCCAGGTGCTCCCATATTTCTAGTTTCTGACCCTACTCCTTTTGCTTTGGCAGTTTGCCTGTCGGAACAAGAACTTTGCTTCTTTGAGTCGACTGCATTATATGTCTATTAAAAACATTGTTTCTAACAAAGAAAAAACCTATACTACAGAATCACTTAAAACATCTGGATACTCACAAAGAAAAGCATTTACTAGCCAGATGTTTTCTCCTATGTTTCCTTGCTGACCAGATAATTAGCAAAAAAAAACCCCACCAAACCATGAAAAAGAGTGTCTAATTGTATCTATAAGCCATCTTCATGCAAATCACATAAAAATACACATGTTGACTAGCATTTGAGAAATAGGTGCTGACCTTGACTATGCTGACTTCTGAGAAACAGGCAATTATGGATAGCATTTACAGTGCCACGCATATAATTAGAACTGTCAACAGCAATCTTGCTTCTGAAATGAAGAAAATTATTCACCTGTATCAACTTGATTTTTCTGATTTTTATTTACTTTTGATTTTTAGAAAATAATGATAAATTAGCAAAAAAACACATGAGAAACTCACCAACCTACTATGAAGTAGGTTGGTTTATTGGTTTTGATTCCTTTCTTGTAGCTGTCATTGCCATCCAGGTAAAAACAATGAAATCTTTTCTCCCCCTTTCCCCGTGTATTTTAATTTTGTCTGAAATAATTTCTTTTAAAACAGAAACACAAATGTTATTCGTTCAAAAGCACCCAAGTGAGATTTAGACTCTAAAACTCTTGGGCTCCTTTGAAACATGCCAGTTAATACCAGCTTTAGCTAATAGTCCATAAAACAGTGAACTTCAGAATATACCTTTTGCCAAAATATCTGATCAAGCTTTATGCTTTGTGAAGGCCTTCAACACCTGTGACAAGTATGGAAAAAAAAAAAAATAATGAGAAAAATATGTCCAAGTCCAGAGAGACAGGATTTCAAATGCTTCTGAAGCACAGCCGTCTTCTGAAACACAGCTAGCATATTACCAAAGTTGAGTTTGTGTAGAAATCAGAGATTCAGCCCAAATTTACTAATTCTTCTAGTACATGTTTTACATCAGTGTTGGTAGGCATGACATGATCCAGTTTATAACTTTCTTCAAGCTTGAGATAACATTCAGCAGCAGCAACTGATATAAATTTAGAAAGTTTCTGATTAATGGCCACTGAAGACATTCAGAAAGCCATAAACCCCCCAAATCCATTGTGATCACACTAATGTTTCTTTCACCCTGTCCTTTGAAGAGGATCAATCCTTGGAACGCAGGCAGGGTCGTTACCAGCGGTGACTGAGATGTGTTAAGAAACCTGTCCTGCTGCTATTTCCCTTGTGCGCTTGAAGAGTCAGTGGGACAAAACACATTGATTTGCACTTGTGAAGGCCATCCAGAACGGTCACTAACATTTCCTTAATGAAAGCTTTGATGAAGAGGACACGATCAGTGAAAGATCACCGATCCCTGGGCTCCATAGATTTCCCATACATCAGATTTGAACGGCTTTTAGTAGCGCTGTACCCTCATAGAGACAAATGTGCAGAAAATCTTTGACTGTAAAGCTCGTATTACTTCGATGTTGTAGTATATCGTTAGTCAAGATCTCTTATTGGTATAAGTAGTACCGTACTTACGCCAATGATCTCATATCGCTGCAAATGGAAAGTATTTGACAGTAAGACTGTGGCCTATGCTGCAGCTACTCTATTAGCAACCATAAGCATCATGCAATAGTTATAAAAACTGCAAGACAGCAGTACCAAGAGTTGGGACATGGAGCTAGTATCACTCAACAATGCAACTGAAGGAAGGGTAGGGAACAGAACCCAGCATGCAAGCTATTAACAGAGCAAAAATTGCCTCCTCTTTGCAAAATATACAGATTGAAGAAGATGAAAAAGAAGAGAAAATTATAACCCAGAAACTGGTGTGGGTACATCTCACAATGGAGTTGAAAAGACGAATTCAGAAGAGGATAAGTGACGTGCCTCCTGCACCATCCCACAGTAATAAAAGGCTTTTTAAGGGAAGATAACTGCCTCCTGTAGGTGGTCTTCTTCAAGTACACAGGGCCTGGCACGTCAGCAGAGCTCCCAGATTAGACCTCACTCATACGTCTCTGCTGAACCAGAGAAAAGTTGTGCAGTGAGGGCAGGAGTGCTTAGGAGCAGCTGTGCAAACCCTCGCCTGAACCACAATCCCTGAGGTCCAGACGTAGTTTAACAAGGGCTTCACAGAATCACACAGACCTTTTGTCCACAGCTTGCTATTTAAATACAGATGTATCTATTTTATAGTAAACATGAAGGAGATTTCGGGGTAAATCAAAGGCCTTATAGCTTCCTCTTGGAGGCCTCGTTTGGAACTTAAAGGTATTCTATTTAAGTGGGACTTTTGTTGCCAAGATATAATTTTATTCATTATTAAAATACCAGCAGAGTTACAGATGGTGCTGAAGTTAAATTGTGTGCATCATTTTGATTGCA